CTCATAGCGACCCCTTCTTGGGTTTCTATGACGGTATCTCTATGGAAATAGATTGCCCAGTCTTCCTTCCGAGGAGTGACTGGTGGGTTTGAACTGCCAGCCTTCTGATTAGTAGTCAAATGCCTTAGTCACTATGCCACTAGAGCTCCTAAGGGGTCTATTGGGAGAAATAATCATCATTTGCTGAATTAAGTGATTAGAAATTATAGATATTTATATTTCAGGGTTTTTTTAATTCTGCATATTATTAGTGTTTCTAGGCTAGGCAGCATTTCTGTTCTCTTGGGTTGGGTATGGAATGGTTGAGGTTGTTTAAGGTACACAACTCTGGATTCCATTGTGTGTATGGTCAGCAATACCAGGACATGCCAATGCCGGAAGAAAAGAGTAACCCCAAGGGTGTGGAGTGGCTGTGGCACTCCATCGTAATAAGGATGTATCTGTCCTTGATTGCCAAGAGTGTCCGAAACTACACACAGGAAGCCTCTCTGGGAGCTCTCCAGAATCTCACAGCAGGAAGTGGACCAGTGAGTATCATGTTTGTTTTTTAACTTTTTATAATGATGATGTTGTAGACATTGCATTAGAACTTGAAATCTAAAGGCATTTGGTTTACAAAAGGCTAAGGCCTACATCTGGAACCTTAACGCTGGTTGAGCTTTGACCAGATGCCATCAATACTTTTCTATATTATTTCCCCAAAGTTTTTGATCTTGACTCACCCATGTGGCTATGCAAACTCCAGGGAAAGCCTAAGGAGAGGCAGTTTTTGTTGTTGTTGTTGTTATTGTTATGTGCTGTCAAGTCGGACGGACTCATAGCGACGACCCCTTCTTGGGTTTCTGAGGTGGTATCACTACGGAAATAGATTGTCCAACCTTCCTTCTCAGGAGTGGCTGGTAGGTTTGAACCACCAGCCTTATGGTTAGTAGTCAAATGCCTTAGACACTATGCTACCAGAGCTCCTAAGGAGAGGCAATAGACATGATAATTTTGGGAACAATCAGGGAAGGGTAGTTAACATCAGGAAGAGCAAATTAACTAGGAGACAGAAGAGGAGCTCACACAAAGAACTAGGGAATTTGACATATCTCTTTAGCACGAAAAGGATTATTGTCTTGTTCCTGTTTTGGGGTAACCTTATCTTGTTTATTCTTTGGGTGATGGGGACCCATAAAAGCCTTCCTGACTAGTCTTATTGAAATCTTGTACCATTGAAAGAAACAGTCATGGTGATTGGATAATTTTAACATATCTGTGGAAAGATGGAAGTTCTCATTGATTGTAAGACTGATAACTGACTTGTAATTTGTAATATATACTACTGACTTTGTGATGTTCCTCCACTCAATAGACACTTGTTTTGATGACAAGTCTATCCATTTCCCACCTTTGTTTTCCTTTACTGCATATGCCAGGAATAAAATTCTCTTTTCTTCACTATCATAACTTTGTGGGAATTTTCCTCTAGGACAGTATACCCACAGCAGCTTCAGAGACAAGAAAATAAAGTAAGAGCAAAAGTTTTCTTACTTTACTCAAGAGAGTTCTCAGAAATTGCCAGAGAGTGTTTTCAGCTTCTAGGATCTTCAGCCTCCAAGTCAGACTGAGTGGAACCCTCATAGGATACCATATTTCTCGCAAATGGCATGGCCACACGTGCTATACACACAAATAACACAAAACATATATAACAGGCAGAAATGATAAAATTATGTTAAAAAATTCTGGCATAGCACACTATGCATTACATTTCCAGAAGTGAATTTTGGCCTTATTCACCCTTACTCAATAATCTGAAAATTACTTTTGATCATATTTATATAATAACAGTATAAACCATGGTCAAGAAGTCATGATCAAATTTGGTAGTACCCAGTCATCAGAAAATAAACAATTGAAACCATGTATTTGCTCTGGAGCAGTTCATAACCAGGTCTGAAAGCAGTAGCCAAACTGCACCCAGGTACACAATACCAAATATGGGTGGAGGGTCAGGCAGAGGGCTGCATGGAATTGTCACATCGTTAGCATAAGGTTGTCACAGCCAGAGGGAGGATGGGACTGTTGACCACATGTTGCCAGCCCCACATGAAGCCACTGGGAGGATGATGCTGGTGTGGTGGGCACTGCCCTGGCCTTGTAGGGCCCCTAGGTGACCAGTCAAACACGTCTCATCCAAGCATGGGACATGTGACCCCTCTCTGCCCACTGTTCTCATGCCTACCCCACGGCATCTGTGCAGGTAGGAGATTTAAAATGGCCCAAGCGCAGTGACCAGTTAGCCAGAGAGCAGGGCAAAATATGTGTAGCTGTGGTGTGTGTGCCAGCCTCACCTGTTTGAGTGGCCTCTGTAGCCCAGGGTGTGAATACCCACATACTTCCAAGAATGGGGCTGGCTGCCCTGGTAAGGGCTGTTTCCAGAGTTAAAAAAGTGATTTTTTTTCCCTGCAGTGGAGAAAGCAGTTTGCAGAGCAGGGAAGGAATGCTGCTAAGAGGGGCTGTTTTAGAAACTTGAGAGTATGTTGGTGCGGGTCTTCTGCTGGGAACCAAACATTCATGTCAACAAAAACCAAGACAAATATTTAACAGTAAATTCATTAGACAGAAAGAAAAAAAATTGAAACCGAAGTCATCAGCATGTAAAAAATATTGGTATAGCACACACTTACAAAAATAATGTTCCATTTTATGCAAAAACATATAATGTATGCATTGTTGTTGTTATGTGCCATTGAGTTGGACCCGACTCATAGCGACCCCTCCTTGGGTTTCCGAGGCAGTATCACTACGAAAGTAGATTGCCCCATCTTCCTTCCGAGGAGTGGCTGGTGGGTTTGAACCACCAGCCTTCTGGTTAGCAGTCAAGTACCTTAGGCACTGTGCTACCAGAGCTCCTATGTATGCATTATTTGCAGAAAAAATACAGTATTTATATTAGTCAGGACTCTTTCAGTTACAAGACATAGAATCCTACCTCAAACTGGTTAAAGCAAAAAAGAGGAATTTCCTAGCTCACAGAACTGAAAGTCCAGGATAGGTCTTCCTTCCAAATACTGTATATTAGTCAGGACTCTTTCACTTATAAGACATAGAATCCTACCTCAAACTGGTTAAAGCAAAAAAGAGGAATTTCTTGGCTCACAGAACTGAAAGTCCAGGATAGGTCTTCCTTCCATCATGGCTAGATCAAGCTGCTCCAAAAAACATGATTATGACTTTTGCTTTTTCTAGACTGTTTTTGTATTGATTTCATTCCCAAGGGCTCTCCCCATATAGTGGCAAAGATGCTGAAAAACCAAATTTCTTGCCATTGAGTCAGTTCTGACTTATGGAAGCCACGTGTATTACAGAGTAAAATTGCTCCATAGGGGTTTTTTTGGCTATAATCTTTACAGAAGCTTATCACCAGACCTTTTCACCATGGCACCACTGGGTGGGTTTGAACCACCAACCTTTAGGTTAGTAGACAAGTGCAAACCCCTTGTCCTACTCCACGATAGTCACCTATCATTTTAGGCTTACATTTTACCTAATATTTCCCCAAGGAGCTCAGGTGGTGTGGTTGCTAAGGCATTTGGCTGCTAACCAAAAGGTTGGTGGTTCAAACCCACCAGCTGCTCCATGGAAGAAAGCTGAGGCAGTCTGCTATTGTAAAGATTTACAATCTTGGAAACCCAATGGGGGTCACTATGAGTCAGAAATGACTCGATGGCATGGGTTTTGGCAATATCCCCCAAAGAAAAGAAAGCAGTAGCTCCTTAAGAACTCGCTGGCCTAGTTGGGGTCTCTTGCTCATTTCTGAATCAGTAACTGTGGCTGTAATGCTCTGATTGGCCAGGCTTAGTAGATGTGCCCACATGAAAATTTCAGGGGCATAAGTTTGAGAGGACTAGGGTCACTGGCATTTATATCACATGGACTGGCATGGGAAAGGGATGGTTCCCTATTGGGAAATCAATATTATTATGAAGAAGAAGGAGGAATGAATGCTGGGCAGACAAAAGCAACAGACGTCAATTGCAGTATCAGATTGGAAAAGACATCTGTGCTTTTTTGTGTCCCAAAATTCAACCAAAAAATAAAGAGCTGCTTCTCTTTCCAGATGCATTTAATATTACAAAAATCAAAATATGTAAAACAGTTATATATTTTCCCCATGCTACATATTTAGGGATTTATAAATATTTAATTACTGTAACTATTCTTATCCAAGACCATAAAATGATTAGATATAAACTCTCCAAGAACACTTTATCATATGGCCAACCTCTGATTATCCATCTTCATAGATAAATGCACTCTTGTAGGTAACAAAAATATTGTCATAAAGAAATATAACAAATTTTATAATTTCTGGAAGGAATAATTGAATTGAAAAACAGACTATTAAGTGTACATCTAGGTAATATCCAGTCCACTTATTTATTCTCTATTTAAGAAATCATATTCATCTTTTAATATAATTGGATTTACACAGAAGCTTGCTCTTTGTTTTGAATAAAACTGTGAAATGCTAAAACCAATATTTCTTTTAGCATTGGATAAGAATACAGGCAAACTTCCTTTTCTTTTATTTGCAGCAAGATATAATTATTATGCACGAAGAGAAATAAATTATTTCCCATGCTGGATTCCCCAAAGCCATTTGTTTTACTTTTCTAAACTATAAAAATATTTTTTTAAAAAATCTCTCATTAACTTCTACCCAAAAACCCACTGCCATCAACTCAGTTCTGACATAGCACCTCTATAGCATAGAGTAGAATTGTCCATAGGGTTTCCAAGGCAGTAATCTTTAAGGAAATCAGACTGCCACATCTTTTTCCTACAGAGAGACTGGTAGGTTCAAACCATTGACCTTTTGGCTAGCAGTCAAGTACTTTAACCACTGCACCACTAGGCCTCTCTCCTTCCTCTTACTAATTCCTAGCCAAATTAAAAGAAAATGTCAAAATTAAAATACTCATTCCTATTCCTGTGTGTGTGTGTGTGTGTGTGTGTGTGTTTTTAGTCTGAACTAACTCTTGGCTTGGGTTTAAGCCAAGAGAGAGGAAGAAAGAGAGATGTCATACTGGAAACAGTGAGAAGCAATGGCAGCAGAAGCAGCAGAACCAGAAGACCAGTAGGAGAGATGGCATGGTGGGCTTCCCAGCCGGTGGAGCAAGAGAACTGAGTGCCTTCAGAGAGGAGGCTTCCTGGCAGAGTAGGGCACTTTGGGGCACTTGTAGGTAGAGCTAGATTTGCCAACCCGTGGATTAAGAGAGCTGAGCGCCTTCAGGCCGAGGTTTACTGGCAGAATAGAATGCTTCTGGGCACTTACTGGCAGAGCTGAAAGCTTTGTAAGGCTTGCCCTAGCAGGGCAGAGGCCGAGGGGCCAAAGGTCAAAGAGACTATAGAGAGGCCTTACTGCAGGCACAGCTGAGAAGAGCTGTCCTGACCAAAGAACTGCATGTATTCTGATTTGCTCTGGATCCTAATTTGTAACCTTTTACTTCTCTAATAAACCCCATAATGTGAGTCTTAT